ATGTTTTTCGGAGGAAAGATAAGGTCATGGCAGTATCGATGATTTTCTTGCTTTCGGGTAATTTGATATCTTTGGTTTTGAAGTGATATTTAACGGTGGAAGCTAGTGATTCGGTAGTTTCGGCATCAAGTTCTTTAGTGACAGTCTCGGTTAATTCTAAGGATCCATCGTCTTTTTGTTTTGATACGATGTCTTGGACTTTTTCTGTTGAAGTAGAGTTTTGAATGGCACTGGATACGGCCTTTTTCTCTTCGGTGATTACTTTATCTGTACCCTTTTCTACGATGATCTTATCTGAGGCAGTTAATAATTCTTCTACTAGTTTTTCGTCTTTAACTTCATTAATCAAATATTTTTTCGCCTGGTCATACTTATCTGTCCATTCATTTTGATGTTGATCGGCTGTCTTTTTCAAATATTGAATCGAAAGGGCCGTTTTCCACCATTTATCACTCTCTTTTGATTTAAGTTTCTCACTTTTAACGTATGATTTAACGGTATCATTAAGGTTTGATTCAGAAACGTCAATCTTTTCCGTGATAACCTTACTCAATTGGAAGGAACCGTCTGATTTTTGATCGGTAAGGACTTTTTTTGTATCTTCCACAGTGTTCTTTGATTGAAGAGATATCAGAGCTGCTGCCTTTTCAGCCTTCTTTTCCTGTCGTTCCTGTTTGCGGACAACATTTGTAGATGATTCGACGACCAATGTTTGAGATGCCTTCAACAATTCCTCTTCTAAATCATTGTCCTTGATTTGCTCTTTGATATATTGTCTAGCCTGATCATACTTTTCCTTCCACTTGCTATCACGAGCAGATGATGTATTTTCTAAATAGGAGATAGTAACGGCCGTGTTAAATAATTTGGGATTGTCTATATTTTTTAATTTTTCACTTTTCACGTATTTCTTGGCCGTTGTAACGAGAACTACTGGCGAAGGGATGTCGAGGTGCTTGCAAACTACATCATTTAATCCAAAAGATCCATCTTTTTCTTGAGTTGAAGTGACGGTTTTAATTGTTTCTTCTGTGGTCTTTAATTGGATGGTTAATAAAGCTTTTTGCTTTTCTACTCGCTTCTTCTCTTCAACTTGTTTAACTACGATTTTTTCTTTTACCAATTTGTCAGATACTTTCAACATTTCATCCACAGCTTTCTCATCGTTTCCGAGTTGTGTTTTGAGATAATTCTTCGCTTGATCATATTTTTCTTTAACTTCAAGCGAACCTGAATTTAATTTCAAATAATTTAAGCTTAACACGGTAGTCCAAGCTGATTCCGAAGCATTCTTGACTTTTTCATTTGTTGTTATGGTACTAACGGTGGCCTTCAAATTTTCCTTGCTGATGTTTAGATCTTTACTGACTGTATCGCTTAATTCAATTGACCCATCACTCTTTTGTTTAGAAATGATGGATTGGGTTTTTTCGGGCGAACAGCTTTTTTGAATGTCAGAAATCGCTTGACGCTTCTCGGATTTCTTCTGCTTCGAGATAACTTTCTTTGTAGATTTGTCAACGACGAGCTTCGTAGTTACTTTCAAAATTTCTTCTTCAATCGCGTTGTCATTAATTTGTTTCTTGAGATACTCTCTAGCTTTTATGTATTCTTTCGTTGACTCGTCTGTAGAACCGTTAACTTTTAGATAGGAGATGGTGATCGCAGTTGAAATAACATCATCATTATACTTCTTCTCTTTGACGCATTTCTTCAAGGTTTCATTGGTGGTATAAATTATCAAAGAATTGTTTAGAGCTTCTTTGGAAGAAACGTCAAGTTGTTGAGCGATGGTATCAATAAGTTTGAATGATCCGTCAGTCTTTTGCGATTCTTTAACAACTTTGATTGTCTTGACATTGGTTTTTGATCGAACAATGGACAATGCGGCTCGCTTCTCTTCCTTCTTTTGTTCTTTTGTAATTTTATATGTAGTCTTTTCTACAACAACCTTCTTGGTAGTTTTCAAGATTTCCTCTTCCAAATCGGTATCACCAACTTTTTCGCGGAGATACTTTCTGGCAAGTTCATATTGCACTTTCCAGGTTGATCCATAGGTTGAAGCGTTGTGTTTTAGATAATTAACTAACAAGAGATAAAGCGAGAACGTGAAACAAAAAGGATTAGTATCGATTGATCAATCCGAATAGAAAAAAAAAGATTAGCATGCATGAATATTTCTATCCTTACTTGTGATCGCTGTTGTCCAAACTGAATCATCCTTGACTTGGTTCTTGACACGCTCACTCGTTGCAAAAACGCGACAAGTATTTACTAAGGTGTTCGTTGATGAAACGTCAAGTTGCCTGCTTACTTCATCACTCAATCCAAATGAACCGTCTGATTTTTGAGTTGTAACAACTTTCTTGACAGTTTCTTCTGTAGTCTTCGATTGAGCGATAGTCAAGGCGATTCTCTTTTGCTTTACCTTTTGTTTTTTGACTACAACAGTAGTGCTTTTTTGAACAACATATTTCTTACAAGCTTTCAATAGTTCTTCTTCTAATACTGTGTCATTGATTTCTTTGTGAAGATAATTTATGGCATTCTCATACTGAACTCGCCAGTGTTGTTCTTGTGATGAAGCTGCGTTCTGCAAATAGCTGATGATGACGGCGGATTCAATCAATTTTTTATTTTGAACATTTGTAAGTTTCTTAAGTTTTGAACTTACAACAAACGATTTAATTGAAGTAACGAGAGTTTCGGAGGATGAAACTTCAAGTTGCTTGCTAAGATCTTTGCTCAATTCTAATGAACCGTCTGATTTTTGAGTTGAAACAATGCTAGTTACGGTCGCGGCTGAAGTCTTATTATTGAGGTAAGTCAAGGCTTCTTGTTTCTTCTTTGCTTTTTCTTTGAGGATAGATTTGTGTGTTGTCTTATTAACAACCAATTTATCACAAGACTTCAAAATTTCTTCTTCTAATTTAACATCATTAACTTTTTCACTTAGATATTTTCTTGCCATTCTGTACTGAATCAGCCAGTGATTTTCGTGAGCGGATGCTGTAGATTTGAGATAACTGATCGCTAAAGCTGTTGAGATGACTGTTTCATCTTTAACCTTCTTGACTTGTTCGCTAACAGCGTAAGAGTGAACGACATTGATCAACGATTCCTTTGAAACGTCAACATGCTTGCTTATGGTTTCACTGAGTTCTATTGAACCATTTTGTTTTTGGGTGGACACGCACTCTTTAACCGTACTTACAGTCGTCTTGGATTGAACTTTAGTC